CAATAAACATTTATCTGGAATTCTCTGCTTTCAGCCAAGATCAAATATAAATAACAAATAGGCTTAATTTTTCTGAAAACAAAACAAAAAAATCCTGTAGAGTTGATATAAGCTTAGGGACTTCAAGACCTCTCATGGGCACACTAACTAATAATGATAATTGTATGCACATCTTGGAAGTTTTTCAGCTTACAGGACAGAGAACGATGTTCTTATTTTATAGAAAGGAAAATGTGTTTGAAGTCATAGTCCCTGTCACACATTCAATAAAGCCTGTGTCCTGTGATTTTATTATAGTCAAGATAATTTTGATTTGGATTTTATTTTTAAGTTTAGATTAAGTGGAAAGAATACTGTTCTTGGTGATAATAAATTTGACTGGAGTCTTAGTCTTGCTACCAAGTCTTTGTGTGGCATTGGGGAAGTTATATTATCTCCCAGCTCTTCAAATTTTTTCCTGTGAAATGAAGCATTTGTTATATGAAGTGCCACTGTGATACTTTACAAGTTCTCTTACAATGTATCTTGATTTATTTGATCTCTCCCTTGACTAGACCACAAACTAGGTACTCCTCAAGTATAGGAAATGTGATAAGTTTATGCTTGTATTTCTTTACTGCACAATTTCCACAATGTAAAGTGAGTAGTTTACAGAATGAGGTTTACAAATTTTTCAAAATGCTAATACATGGTTTCTTGAACAGAAAATTGGAATTTTCTAAGCTAATTAATTTTTTCCTTCCTTGTTTTTGAGTGACTCTATCAAAGGTAATCCTAGTTTGTGGCAGCCAGCTGTCTTCTGGGACTTGGGAATAGGCTCTATATGACCTACAATTCTGTGGGTGCAAGTTGCCTGTACCTCAACCTCATTCTCACAATGGAATTCCCACATCACCCTGACTGAAGACCACGGTCATAGTGTAAAGGCTCCAAAATACATGCAGGAAGTAGAGATTTCGGAGTTTGTATGTCTAAGGCTCACCATCTGCCAATCTTTTTCTGCATGGTCTACTCCCAGGAACTCAAAGAAAGAAGCAAATCCTTCATTTAGCCACAAGTCTTCCCACCAATCCATGGTTACAATATTTCCAAACCACTGAAATTAGAAGCAAACAACAAAGAAAAATAGTTAATTAAATTATTGTGCTTGCAGCAAATAGAAAGGACTAGAAAAGCAATATATTTATTTGTCTGTATACATTTTGTCAAGTGTGACACAGATGTGGCAGGTACTGTACTTGGCATTTATTTCCTGATGTATTGCTCTTTGTTAAATGACCTTAATTTCTCCTTATTCCATTGCCTTTATTTAGGTATTACTTGGAATATATGAACTTGGGATAAGAAAATCTCCTGTGCATTTATTTGAGGGAAAGCAATGCATCTTAAAGGTCGGTTGTGGTAAATATTTATTAGCACAATGAAAGACTTTCATGGAGGATTTTCTGAGTTGGTCATTTTTAGTTGCTAAATTGTAATTAATTTGAATTATTCCTGTTATCTTACGCCATTTTTAAAAAAAAAACAAAATGATATGATACCCAAGATCCTATACCTGATGTACAAGTTCATGAGCAACCACACTGGCTACCCTCTGTTTGTTGGATGAGGCTGATTCATTAGGGTCATAAAGCAAGTTCGTTTCTCTGTAAGTGATGAGGCCCCAGTTCTCCATAGCACCAGTGCCAAAATCTGGAATAGCGATTTTGTCTAAGGAAAGGAAAAAAAAAAAAAAAAAAGTCTAGTGAGAAATGCATTCTTTCCATTTGTTCATAACATTTTAAGTTATTTGGATGGATGTTTTCAAAAAGGCTAAAAATAATTTCTTAGAGTGAAAAACAGTAATCTATTTGTGAAAACTTTTCAGTCCTAATGCACTTGAAATTTCCATGGAGTTTTTTCTGTTGGTTCCATAACCAATGTGTCTTTTTTCCCCCCTGCAATAAGGAAACTAATAGCAATCTTTTTTAAAAGGCATCTATATTTTTATTTATTTTGCTCCTCTTTGTATTTGATTTATTTGTAAGCATTTCCCCCCTCCATGATTTTTGCTTAGGTAACATAGAACATCTGTTTTGGAGCATAAGCTGTGAAGAATAAAAGAACAGTTTTCAAATGAGAACTTTTAAGAAGGACAGAGCATCTGAGTATACACAAATAGATTTCTAGTCAAGAATACAGACTATTGTTTTGTTGTTGTTAAATGCTGTCGAGTCGGGTCTGAGTTATAGCAACCTTGTAGAGGGTTTCTGAGAGCAGCTAGTGAGCTTGAACTGCCGACCCTGAAGTTCAAACTGACTTTGCAGTCCAGCAAGAACATTAAGAGACAGTGCCACACCAGGATTCCAAAAATCCTGTTTATTTCCTAATTCTATAAAATCTAAGGTTAACCTCATCCCATACCAATTTGAATAGCTTACTACATACTTACATGTATTAAATATATTTAAGAAATTGACTACGTTCTTCCTAAATTCCCTTCAAGATCTGAAATTTTGGGTTCTATGAAGATATTCTCTTCCTTATTTTTTCTGGGACCAGTAATACCCAATATAATATCTGACAGGAGGAGACAGTGTTGATCAATTCTATGTTGAATTCCAATGCTCAACTTGTTAACAGATCAAATATAACTTTCTCAGTAGATGAACTATAATCAAAATGTATCTTTTAATCACTGTTGTTGTTGTTAGGTGCCATCGAGTCGGTACTGACTCATAGCAACCTTATGCACAGCAGAATGAAACACTGCCAGATCCTGGGCTAACCTCACTACTGTTGCCATGCTTGAGTCCATCGATGCTGCCACTTGGCCAATCCATCTCGCTGGGGGTCTTCCTCTTTTTCTCTGACCCTCCACCTTACTAAACATGATATCCTTCTCCAGTGACTGGTCCCTCCTGACAACATGTCTGAAGTATAAGAGACGAAGTTTGGCTATCTTGGCCTTCAAGGAGCACTCTGGCTGCACTTCTTCCAAAATGGATCTATTGGTTCTTTTGGCAGCCCATGTCACTTTTAATATTCTCCTCAAACACCATAACTCAAATGAGGATCAATTGAGTTTTCATCCACCATACAAACAAAGGTCTCTTTTTTATAGTTGAAATAAAGTTTCTTACAGCTTTTTATAAATGATTGAAAATTAATTTATCTTAAATAAAGGTCAAGATTATGGCAGTAGTTTCGTTTTCATACTATTGTCCTCATTGGATTTAGTTATTTTGTCACAATAATATTCATACAAAAGTAGATAAATACCTGCCTACTATGGAGTCTTGGAGTCCTGGTATGGCACTGTGGGCTAATGCATTACACTGCAAAGTTGTTTGAACTGCAAGGTTGGCAGTTCCAGCTCACCAGCTGCTCCTTGGGAAACCTATACAGGGTCGCTATGGTTCGGAATCAACTCGATAGCATTTAACCACAACAATACAGTTATGGTGTGGCACTTTGAGCTAATACACCGGACTGCAAGATTGGTTTTAACCACAAGATTGGTGAATCAAATTCATCAACAGCTCCTCAGAACCCCTATACAGGGTCACTATGAGTCAGAATTGATTTAACAATAGCAACTATTTTTTATTTTACATATTGCACATAATACACAGAAGAAAAAAAACTTTATAAACTTAGTTCTTTGGTGAATATTGTCATTATAATTCATTAGCTCCAGTACATTTAACTTTTTTGAATATAATAAATTCAAGTACTACTTCTAAGAAAACTCTAAGATAGAGTCAACTCTGATAGGGCTGAAAATGCATATAAAAGATTGTGAAGAAGGAAAGGAGAAAGTGAAAATAGTGGCGGCAAAGAGAGAATTAGCGCTGTGAAAGTCTACTTTCCATGTTAAACTGTGTGACTCATGTGAGATAGAATGGGAAAAAACACTTTTATGTTAGTGTGTTTGATACTTTATTAAATATTATTCAGGTTTTGATAGAAATTTGCTTCTCTTCCAATCTCCTGGAATAGTTGTTAAACAATTTTTCTTAATGGAGTTGCTGCCATTGAAGTGGAAATGCAACTTCTACAAACTGCTCAGAACCACAACTTTTCCCATGCAGTCAATCCAGCATTCCAATTGCTTTGTATAGATAATTTATTCAAGTAAGAAAAGAAACAGAAACAGGGAAGTTGACTGTTGGCTTGCTTTCTTGCTACCTGTATTTCATTCATATAGACATATTTATAAGTGTTACAGTGAAGTGGTGATTTACTGATCACTATTCAAGCATTTCTGTTGTTGATAGAATTGTCATAGTCATACCATTTTGAGTGGAGACTTACTTTTAATTTAAAAAAAATTCTATAACTAGCATATATGTTTCATTTTAACAGTTGGAGTATTTAGATGTTGTTGTTGTTGTTGTTGTTGTCAGGTGCCATC